ATGTCGACTTCCTGCACTGGCAGGCACTGCCCTGGTAGTCGGGTGTGCACCTGCACTCCCCGCAGTCACAGGTCCCGCGATCTGCAGGGGAGGGCCTTTTAGACCAGAATCCTACAGACAGCCAGGTGGCCCTCCCTCTGCCTGTGCTTGGAGAACATCACCTGCCCTGTGCTCTCCATGCCACCCTCCATGGGATGGTCGAAGAGGTCCTGCAGGCTGATGCAGTGGGACCCAAGACACCCAAACTGACCCACTTGGGTTTTGTTAGGGAAAGGCAGCCATCTTCCTAGCAATTTAATCTTTCTAAAGAGTGCTCCGGTAGAGAACCCATCACACAGATGCCTCACCTTTGCCGCCGCAGGGGAAGCCATTGTGAAACTCGCAGTTCATGTTGTCGCACTCACAGAAGGTGCCATAGATCTGCTTGTCAGGCACGTCACTGGTGTGGCAGATGCACTGCCCACACACGCAGTCCCCCAGCCCCGAGCAAATGACCGAGCTGTTGTCCTTCCGGCAGCTGCCCTCCAGCTCCTTGCTGGTCTTGCCTTTGGTTTCACACTCACAGTTCTTGCCCGTGTAGCCTGAATTGCAGCTGCCATCAAAGGAGAGGAGTGAGCCTGGGTCAGCAGCCACAAGAAATGCCATGAGGCACGTGCAGAGCCCAGACCTCAGCTGAAGCAGAGAAAATCTCAGATAGCCTCACTGAAAACCAACACTGGCATGTTGGTGCTAGCTCCGTGCTGAAGCAGGGCAGCTGATGGGGAGGAAAACTCAGAAACGCTGCTATTCCCTCAGTCATATTTACAACACCAAACAGTTGCCTGGAAATTATTGTTATATTTATAATTTCCAAACCCTTGCCAAGGAGATCTGAGTATTTCCTGAGGAAACGTAGTCTTTTCCTCTCCCTGTCACTGAAGAGCCACAGAGAAATAATTGCACTTAAAGACCTGCATTAAGTGCAGCTCAGGAGGAGATTTTGAGAGATTTCTACACAAATTTGTGTCTGCTCAATGGGTAAGTTGGTGGGTGGTTAGATACATAGATGGATGGGTGGATAGTCGGATGGATGGGCGGGTGGATGCCCTTAGGAAAGCAAGCGAGGCTCCACCAACAGAAGACAGAGCTCATTGTGTCCCCTGACTCCATGAATAAGAAAATCTGCCTCTCTGAATAAGAAAACTGGTGCAAAGCTGCAGAGCCAAGCCCTTGGCTTGGCCTAACGGCCCTCTCCCAGCAGCTCCACAGCTCTGGTAGAGTTTGAAATGGTGTTTTTGAGCAGACAGCACGTACCTGCAGATCCCACAGACGATGGTGCCTTTCCCACTGCAGGCAGTTGAGTCAGGCTGCTCGTCGCAGTTGCAGTCGCAGTTGCTGTCCAGGTGGATGGTGAGGGTGTCTGTGAAGCCCAGCGGCCGGATGGTGAAGGACTGGCTTTTGATGCACTCCTTGGCCGTGACCTTCACTTTGAAGGTGACCTAGAAAGTGCAGATTGAGAAAGGGAAGGGCCAGAGGCCATCAGGTCGCTTCAGCAATCAGAGGGTGATATCAGCCCCAGGCTAAGCACACGCACATCCAGTGCAATGGAGGATCCCCCCATCCCGCAGCATTTTGGACACTCTTGGCATTAAATTCACATAAACAGAAAGCCTGGAACAACAGGCTGGGTTCCTGCCCTTAAACGGGATGGGCATCAGGACCCTTGTGAGCTGCGGCTCATTCCTAGTAGGGGGGAACGTACCTCGTCGTTGATCTTGACATTGTCACACTGCCCTCGTGTTTCATCCTCGCGTTTGATCCCCTTGTTCTTACCGCACATGGAGTCATATTTCACATCCAGGACATCTGGCAGGGTGGAGTGGTCCAGGATGATCCGCGAAGAAAGGTTCTGTGGGGAAATGGTGGAGAAAGTGCCATCAGTCCAAGAGGAAAACAAAGCCAGGGGATGTGGGGTTGCACGTCAGGGCTTCCCTCCAGCCCAGGGGATAGGGACAGGGAGCACCCAGGCTGGGGTCTCAGCTGCTGGAGGTGGTTCTGGAAAGGCAGGTGATAGTGTCAGAGAGGTAGGAACCTCTTGCTTGCTGTGGGCAGAGGGATTCAGCATGCTCTGTACTCCAAGCCCTGGTCCCAGCTACTCTCTGACAGTGAGGACACATGATGGAAACCTTGCCTTGCTCTGAGCCGCACCAGACAAGCAAAACATAGCCTCCTTCAGCACTTACATTGTAGGCCTCCTGGATGAGTTCAATGATGTTACTGGAGTCCTCGTTCAGCTCTCCCACTGCCGACTTCGGGATCATCTCACTGAGTTTCTGCCAACAGAGAGCAAAGAGGTGAGTGGTCCCCCCCATGTGACAGAGGAGAAGGGGGCAATGGCAGGAGGACATGTATGACTGTTTCTGTCCTCATGAGGGGGGACGGGAGGCACTTGGACCATCTGAAGTCTCCTTACCTTGTAAACATCCACCATCTTACTGGTGACAGCAAAAATGGGCTGAATGTTGTTTTCGGCAAGTTTCTGGACCAGCTGGCCAACAGATGGGTAGTCCTAGGTGGGGAGAGGAATGCTGCACTCAGTGCGATCTCCCCCACCAGCAGAAGGGTGGACAGTTTGGGTTTCACGGTGCAAATGACGGTGATTATGGTGACTTTGTGGTCTCAGCAACAGGCTTTTTATGTGACATTTTTTTCTCTGCCTAGGGGAGCAAGGCTGAGGGTGCGGAGCCACTGAGCAGCTGCCAGGTACTTACAAACTCATTACTCTTTTTGTACATGTTGTCCTCCAAGTGGCACTGCCCATCGTTGGGGATCAGGATGGCCCCAAGCTTGCCGTCGCCAGCGAAGTGGAAGCCGTCATCAGTAGCATACACGAGCAAGCGAGTCACGTTGCGCCAGCCGATCAAGTCCTGCAAGCGTCATGGAGACCTCTCCCTGAGCAAGGCTAGGAGGACAGGGCCAGCATGCATGCTATGGCCCTTGCCAAAGTCTTGTGTAAGCCACAGTGTGTGGGGCAGGGTGCATGGGGGAGGTGGGTCACAGGAGATCAGGGCCAGGAGGCCCTGGGGTAAGATGCTCTCTTGTACCCCCCCAAAGTAACCTCCGCTGCCGAATCAGGACTTGCAGAGCCCACCTGGAGAGGGGCAGAGCCACTTCCTGAGGGACAGTCATGAGCTTGGATCACAGCCCCCTTGCCTGTGTGTAGCGGCCGGCAGTACGGCAGATGCCAGGACTCACCCCACACACTGCTGCCTGCATCATGGCATCCAGCCCCCCTTCCGGGGCATCCAGGTTCCCAGAGATGAACTGCTTCCCCACTTCACTCTCAAACTTCTCAGCGTTGTCAGTCAGTGAGAGGATGTGCTTGAAGGCAAAGGGAGGCTGGCATTTCTTGTCCTTGTTGGGGCAGGGGTTCTGCAGCTTCTCAGGGTGCGTATTCACGAAGGGCAGCACTGTCTTGTCCACGAAGGAGCCAAAACCTAGGGCACCCAAGACTGCAGGGTCAGGGGTGGCAGGGACCGGCAGGCATCCCTGCAGCACAGGGCATGGATAATCTGCTGGCCCCTGTGTATGTGCTCACGTCCCTTGCCCTGGCATACTCTCCAGCCTGGAAGAGGATGGGTCATGCTGCCCACTGCCTGCATCCCACTCCAGCCCCACAGCTCTTCCCAGCAGCCAACAGCTGTGCTGAGGTCCCATGCCAGAGACAGGCTCACCTATGCGGCGAGAAGGGGTGGTGCTTTCCAGCGCCCTGAGCAGCTCCCCTCCGAGCTTCTTCACCTTTTCCAAGTCATCCAGCATGGAGTAGGAGAGGTCCATGAGGTAGTAGAGATCAATGGGGTACCCCATGGCACGGCGAAACTTCACCTCGAATACAGCAGGCTGCCCTGTGGGACAAGAATGCTGTGTTGTGGCTCATATCTCGCCCCATCGCCCATGCCCCCACTGGGATCCTCCTCTCTTTCAGAAGAAAAGGGGAGGAAATGCGGGTTGTGACATGCTGCCAAATCCCAGGGGCGCCTGGGGGTGAGCAGAAGGGCATTGGGAATGTCAGGCAGACCATACCTATCCTCAGTTTCAGGTGCACCTCCTGGGGAGTCAGCTGTATGTCGTTGCTTAAGGGACTGTTCTGTGTTCTGGTAATATTATTGACTGGAAACTCAATCTTGTTGCTCGGGCATCCCCTCTGCTGCAGCTGCTCAATGGTGTCACAGCGGATGGAGTCTGG